CTTGTGAGGAACTGTGTCGAAGGCCTTCTTGCAGTCCAAAATAATGCAGTCGATCCACCCCTCTCTCTCTTGCTTACTTCTGTCACCTTGTCATAAAACTCTAATGGGTTTGTGACACAGGATTTTCCCTCCCTGAAACCATGCTGGTTGTCAATTATACACTTGTTTCTTTCCGGGTGCCCCACCACTCTCCTCCTGATGATCTTCTCCATGACCTTGCATACTATACACGTTATGATACAGGTCTGTAGTTTAGTGCCTCATGTCTGTCTCCCTTTTTAAAAATTGGGACAAAATTTTGGGCCATCTTCCATACCTCGGGGATTGCCCAGTTTCAAATGATGTGTTGAAGATCTTCGTTAATGGTAAAACACAATGTCTCTGTTCCCTCTTTAAGGACCCCACGGAGAGATGTCTGGTCCCACTGCCTTCGGGGGCGTCAAGTTCGCATAGCAGCTTCTTCAACCTCCTCCTTGGATATATGTACCTCATCCAGCACTTGCTGGTGCAACCCCCTGCTCGATTTCCTGGAGTCCTACGGGTTTTTTCACTGTAAATACTTCTTTAAAAATCGTGTGTTGAGCTCCGACTACCTCCCGGTCGTTTCTTGTGAATTCCCCATCACCCTTCCTCAGTCTGATTACCTGGTCCTTGACTGTTGTTTTCCTCCTGATGTGGCTTTACAACAGCTTCGGGTCAGCCCTTGACTTTCGATGCTATGTCATTTTCGTTTTGGGCCGCTGAGCCTCCCTTCTTATCTGTGCATATTCGTTTCTGGCTCTTCGGCTAATCTCTTTTTTTTCCCCTGAGTTCTCTGTCTTCTGAAACCTTTCCATTCTGTAGTACACCCTAGTTTTTGCCTCCCTACACCTTTTGGGTGAACCAAGGACTAATTCTGTTCTTCCCATTATTTCTGTTTCCCTTGGGAACAAACCTCTCCTCGCCTCCTTGCATTTTGTTGCCACATAGTCCATCATTTCTTGTACTAGTTTTCTTGTCATTTCCCCCTCCCACGAATGTCTTGAAAGAATTTTCCTCAATCCTGAGTAGTTCCCCCTTTTGTAGTTTGGTTTTTCCCACCCTATTCCCGCTGCTCTCTCCACTTGGAGCTCAACTGTGTAGTCGAAGCACAGAGCCACATGATCACTAGCTCCCAGGGCCTTTCATACATGATATCCTCGATGTCAGAACTACTCAAGGTGAATACAAGGTCCAGTCTTGCTGGTTCATCCTCTCCTCTCTCTCTGGTAGTGTCTCTAACATGTTTGATCATGAGTTTTCCAGTACCACATCCATCATCTTGGCTCTCCATGTTTCGGGACCCCCCATGAGGCTCCAGGTTCTCCCAGTCAATCTCCTTGTGATTGAAATCACCCATAATTAGTAACTTTGCTCCCCCATGTGTGTCTCTCCTGGCCACCTCGGCAAATGTGTCGACCAATTCTCTGTTGCTCTCATCGTATTCTTCTCTTGGCCTCCTGCAGTTCTGTGGTTGGGTTGTACATTACGCAATTATCACCTTATGTCCCTCAGACTGGATTGTTCCTACTAAGTAGTCCCTTTCGCCCGTGCCATCCATTCCTTCCATTTCCTCAAACCCCCCCCTGGTTTTTTAATGAGGCAGTGCAACTCCTCCTCCCCCTCTCCTCCCTCTGTCTTCGTGAGGATTGATATCCGGATGGAAAGATTGAATCTGTTATTATTCTGGTGAGTTTTGTTTCTGTGAGTGCTATTATGTCTGGGGATGTCTCCTTGATTTCTTTCGTGCCACTCCTCATACTTTTTGTTATTCCATCTGCATTTGTATACCACAAACCCTTTAACTTCTTTTCTAAGATTGTAGTCTGGGAGGTGTATTGGGGTTGGGGAAGTGGGAGACCTGATAAGGAACTATGGGTGGTTGCTGTGGGGGTGGGGTTTGTAATGCAGTGGGTGGGGGCATTGGATGTGGCTTGGGTGTTTTGGTTTAGAGTGTTTGGTTGCACTGGGGTTGACCTGGTTGAGAGGCTTCTATAGGAAGTTGTGAGGGAGGCTGTATTTGATCTTCCTGTGTCTGTAATCTCCTGTGTCTTCTCCATCCCCTCTCTTTCCTCCTTTCACCTTTGTACCATCTCTCTCTGTTTCTTCCTTTCTGCTTGTGTTCTGTCGCGGTCGAGATACACCTTCCTGTATGCTGGCAAGTCCCTTAATCATGCTTTCTCCTGCAGGATCCTGTTCCGAATCGATTCTGCCTTGAAGGTCACTTTCACTGGCCGGGTTCTTTTTTTTACAAACCCCCCTATTCTCCGAAAATTTTCCAGCTGGGTCATGTCGTCTTCTCCTATTGATTTCATGATGCTTTCAATTTCCCCTTGTTTTCTTGCTTCATATGTTTCCCCTTCAACTTCCTGGAGCCCATACACAAAGACTGACCTCACCCTTTCATGCTCCCACTGCATATCCCTGTGTATCCCCTCATTCAATTTGATTTCCTCCATTGCAGCTTTCCTTTCTTTAGTTTCACTAGCTAATGTACTTGGGCTCAGTGGCCTGTCATTTTCCCTTCTCGGCTTTCCATGGGCTCTGCTGTGGTCTGTTAGGGCCTCCACATATAGCTTAGCTCTCCACTGATTGAGCTTCTACATGCAGTTTTTCTCCTTTCCCTACAGTCCCCTTATTTGTGACTGAGGTAGCAGTCTCTGATGTCAATCCC